GCAAGCGGAGACGCGTGGGGTGGGGATCTGGCCCGAAAGCCGCAGCGGGATCCGGTGGACTGTTGAGAACTAACTCGGCCAAGCGGTCCCCGAACGCGCCCCTCACCCGGTGACCCGTTTCCGCGGCGATGAAACCCCCGTTGGCAGGAGGAATGCTTACTGACGGCGGGCGCGGCACAGCTGCGATTGAAGGAGAGATCGGCGGGGGATTGGGCACCGAGGAAGGTGGCGGCTGAGGCATCTCATTGGGCTTGCTGGGACCGATCTTCTCTTTGCTGTCGTCTTCCGGCACCAACCCCTTGGCCTTGTGAATGGCTTCGATCTGTTCTTGCAGGGTGATGTTGGCCTGCGCGGCCTGCTGCGTGCGAGCCATGCTGCCCGAGTGGCCATCCCAGGTCACCTGCAAGAGACATGGAGGAGAACTTAGCTCTGATCGGACTAGCAGGTGGGTGAGGGATAAACGGACGGTAAGGTGGATAGAAAGCTGGCTAGACTGTCGGACCCAACGGGTCGGGATCAACGGCTCGATGGCGGGATGGCGGGCGGTTTCTAGCGAGCGCCCCACAGATCGGTTCTAGGACCGGTTTCGTTCAACATCTTTAACTTCAACTCCCTGAGGGCGGGGGGGTCCAAAAAGGATGGAGAGAGGCTGTTCTCAGTGAAGGCAGATAGCAGAAGAAGGAGCAATGGGCTCAAGTTGTGGTGGGAGAGGTCCAGGTTGGATATTAGGAAAAACGATTTCCCTAGGCAGGTGGGGAAGCGCCGAGATGGGTTCCCTAGGGTGGGGGTGGAATCTCCGTCCCTAGAGGTGTTTAAGTCTCAGCTTGACAAAGCCCTGGTTGGGTTGATTGAGTTGGGATTGGTCCTGCCTAGAGCAGGGGGCTGGACTTGACCTTCTGAGGTCTCTTCCAGCTCTAGGTTTCACCACGGAGACGCCCGATTCTACAATTCAGGGCAGCAAGGTCCCCGCAGGGTTTGCTCCGCACCTTTTCCTCTGGCTTCTGGATCTCCTCTTCGCCAATCTTCTTCCCGATCGCCGTCTCCTCCACACCGAAGATATCCGTACGGCGCTCAGCCAGCTGCTTCAGGCTGCTCTCGATATCCAAACCTGCCGACAGGCAGAGAGAGAGGGGAAAAGACGTTCGATGTTTTCTCGCGCGTGATCGAACTCGGGGAACCTTGAGAGGCACCCGACTAACCTGGGGCATAGACCTCGTCGTCAGTCTGTTTCTCCCGGATAGACCGATCCCTCTGTTCCAGCCAACGGGGATCCAGGAGTCCGATTCGCATGTGCTCTTGCATTTTACTGGCAGGTATCTTCTCGCCCGTGATGGGAGAGACGAGATATTCATCCGGGGCTGGCGCAGGTGGTAACGGCTTGGAGGCTGAAGGAGCAAAGCCACGCGGTTAAACATGCCTCACGTAATCACATCTCGGGGGGACTATTCCGTAAAGTGCAATTGCTCGTCGTCACCAAATCGAGACGGTGCTGGGTCCTGCCGTGAGGGCAGGGGACTGGACTCGATGACCTCTCGAGGTCCCTTCCAGTTCTAGTGCTCTGTGATTCTACAGACATCGACCAGGGACGGTCTAGAGCAATGTTTCTTAAACTTTTTAAGACTGAGGAACACCAATTTTTTTTTTTATGAGGAACATCAAGGGTTTTTTTTGTTGACCAAAAAAAAGGGGGGGGAGGGAGGGCAGGGAAGGGCCAAAGGGTCGGGGGAAAGGTACTGAGAAAAAAAAAGTTAAAAGGTTGCCTGCCCCTTTAAGGGCGGCCATTTTGAATTCTGTTGTTTTCCGCAGCACACGTCCGACTGCCTCCTGGCACACCGGTGTGCCGTGGAACACAGTTTAAGAAACACCGGTCTAAACATTGCTTGGTCCTGCCGGGAGGGCAGGGGACTGGATTTGATGACCTCTCGAGGGTCCTTACGGTTCTAGTGTGTTATGGAACGCCAACGTACCTTTGGGATCGTAATCCTTCCGCACAATGACCTGGTCCGGAGTTGGAGGCAGAGGAGGCGGCATTGGGGTGTCCGGCGGAGGCGGGACTTTTTGACTCTCGTCTTCGTCATCGGAACCCTTCAATGAAAACAACGCTTACCCGTGTGCTCTGGAGTAACTATTACAGAAGTGAAACCGGTTTTCCTTTTTGCGTCCCCACACTTCTTGTTTTTCCATTTGCTGACGGTTTCCCCGTGGGAAACCTCAAGCCACTTGAAATGTCAGAAGTTCACACGCTCCAACCCAACGTAGCTAGAGAGATGCTTAAAATAGCCACAAGGGAAAATGAACTCAAAAATGCCTCTCTCTCTAGCTCGGGCAGCGCAGAAGTAAGGATGGCAAATACCGTAACTCCTCGAAAACAGCGTCGTGACCCCCTCTGTAGCTGCCTGTTGGGTCAGAACTAGGGATGTTTATTTGCAGCAGTTGTACGCTGGCATGCGGAGGGTGGGGAGGCCAGGCCGGAAACACGTTATCAGTGAAAGGAGCCGTGATCACGCCGGCTACCTACCTCGTCCATATCCTGCACTCGCGTGTCTTGGTCTAGTTGAGAGGGGGTCTCGTCGGTCTTCTCTTGCTTTTCGTCTTCGTCATCTGACTCCACCTCCATCTCCACCTCCTCGCTTTCCCCAAACTTCTCGTAGCGCTCCTGGATCAGTATGCGAGCGCCCAGTTCCTCGGGCGTGGTGGGAGGAGGGAAGTTTCCTGCAACCAAGAAAGGCAAACGGGTGGGCTTCTCTAGCACAGGCTGAAGGCGGCAGAGAAAGGGAAGGTGCTACCACAACGGGATGTTAATACAGCCACGGGACTCAGGGGCTTGGTTTTCAGACGCCAGCGCAGGATTCCCCGTCACAAAGAAAGCAGGACCGGTGACGTCACTAACTGCCGAATAGACCGCCCGGCGCTCAGCCGAGAAAGCTTTGCGGTTCACGTTTTAAAGGGTTGTCCTACTACAGGGGTGGTCAGCCCATTTAACAAAAAGACGACAAACGGTCTGGTAGCACTTTATAGGCTAACGAAACATGTGGACGGGATCAGGAGCTTTCGTTAGTCTAGAAAGTGCTACCGGACCATTTGTTCTTTTTTTTCCTGTAACAGACTAACTCAGCGACCCCCTGACGCTCATGAACATTTAACAAAGAGAGCCAAAACAGTGGCGGAAAAAATGAGATGAGCCGCACCGCTATTGTTAAGCCCAAAAAAAAAAAAAAAAAAAAGGAGGCTGTCCCTTTAAGAAACAGAAAAAAAAAAAGAGGCCACCCCTTTAAGTAACAGGAAAAAAAAGGAGGCTGTCTCTTTAAGAAACAGACCTAGGCTTTGTGGCCAGTAATGGTCACCATCTTGGGTGCCATTTTTGCATCACCACCGCGGTGAGCACAGAAGAGCCGGGGCAGGCGGAGGGACGCGCAGGAGCGGCTTTGTGAGCAGCACTTTTGGGGGAGAAGAGCCGCATGCGGCCACCCTGACCTACCAGGAGCATATTTTTGATTACAGCATCTTCCAGCGGCAGGCAGGTATTATCCCCACTGAACACAGACCCAGAGCGGGTACGTCCCTTCGGTTTCCTACCTTGCTCGCCGGGCTGGAAGTCCACGGTTTCCACCACGACAAAGTCATGCCAGTCAATCTGAGCATAAGCGACACGCTCCTTCTCTTTCTCCTCCTCTTCCTTCTTCCTCTCTCGTTCCTGGAATTTGGCCCACTCCACTCGGTAGCACACCTGTACGGGGTCACAGAAACGGGAAAGGCACGTCACAGTTGACAAAGAAAAACACAGCAGCAGGGCAAAACTCTCGGCCTCGAAGGTGCAGTTTGCTTGAGTAGGGGCTGCAGATTCGGCCGGCCAACCTTTCGGAGTAACGGTGAAACTTGCGACGGTGAAACTTGCGACGGACAGCTCTCGAATCACACCTGTAAATGTTTGGCGGACTTCTCACAAACCTGCCGAACCCCGTCCCAAACGGCAAATACGGTCTGCTGAAGGAAAACCTTCGTGTCTGAAGATCTGAGACACTGGAGAGGAAGAAACCCCCATGCGGATCCGCCTAGTTGGCGTGACTGCGATCTTATATCAGAAACTCGAAGGGATGGGAAAATGCTTTTTGCAGTAAAACGTCATGAAGATATTACTCCCCAGGGCTATGTTTCTTACTTTTTAAGACCGAAGAACACCAAACGTTTTTTTTTTTTTAATGGAAAACACCAAGGATTTTTTTGTTGAGGGGAAAAAAAAGCCCCCAGGGAAAAGTTGTTGAGCCAAAAAAAAAAAAGGAGGCTTGTCCCTTTAAAGGCAGCCATTTTGAATTCTATTCTCCCCACAATCCACCAGTGTACCCGGGAACTTGCTGCCCTAGAGGAATTCAGCACCACTGGGCCAGGCAGACTTTTGCTTACCAGCTGGGCCCAGGTAGATCTCGCATTGCACTTCAATTCAAAAAGTGATCTTGTGTTTAGAAAGGCTGGAGACCCCCGGGCTACGGAGATGTCGGCTGCCGCTAGGGCTGTAAAATCCCGGTTAATCAGTTAACCGATGAAACAAACCGATTAGGCAGATCCAGTTCTTGCTGCCGGCCTCCCCTGTACGCTGAAGAAGGGGGCTGTGCCCACGAAAGCTCATGATCCCATCTCCATGTTTTGTTAGTCTTTAAAGTGCTACCAGACTATTGGTTGTTTTTTAATCCTGTACAAACTCGACTACGCCCCTGAAACTTTTGATTATACAGTTATTCTAACAAAAAGTGCAGAATTTTCAAGTATTGTGCCTAGAATTTAATTTTTTGGTGCAAAATTCCCCCAGGAGCAAGACATAAAGCATGCTACACAGTGGCTGATCGGACCGGCTTATTTTCCCACGCTGGGAAATCCAGTTATATTGTTTGTTCTCGTTGTGTTTAGACGTGGCGTCGATCATTAAAAAGAGGGTGAGCTGGAAACCAGAAATTAATTCAGAAACAAGATGAAATGCGTCAGTAGTTTTACGGAAAGTATTCCCAGGTTACCTGATCGAGGACTTCTCGAGGATTTTCAGCCTCCTTCTTGAGTTTGATAAGTAGCCCTTTAGGCGGGATCAAGATCTGAAACACATTTTCGGGAGATCACTAAAGACGATCATAAATTAGTTAAGCAAGCGGTCCTAATGATCTTGTTTCTGCCCTAGACAAAAAGTTAATTTTATGGCTGGATTTCCGGAAGCTACGCTCCATTTCTTCTGTTGCTCCCCTATTTTTAACTATCACCAAGAATCAGGTACAGTATTCTCTGCTATTTCACCTGCTTCTCTTGCTATAAAGGAACAATTTTTTCCTCTGTACGGCTATGTCTAGACTACGCGGCAGTTTCGAAAGAGGATATGCCCATTTCGGGTCTTTCAAAAGTGAAAGTAGCCTAGACGCAATCTTTCTGGAACTCCCCCCTTTTTTCGAAAAGCGCTTTCGAAAGTGAGATCAAAAGAAGACATGCAAAGGAACCAAGACAAAGACATGGTAAGGAACAATTTTTCCTCTTTACGGCTACGTCTAGACTACGCGGTAGTTTCGAAAGAGGATATGCCCATTTCGGGTCTTTCAAAAGTGAAAGTAGCCTAGACGCGATTTTTCTGGAACTCCTCCCTTTTTTCGATTCCTCAAAAAATGAGGTTTACGCGGCTTTTCAGGAAAAATCCCGCGTTCGAAAGTGAGATATGCAAATTCCCGCATATCCTCTTTCGAAACTACTGCGTCGTCTAGACGTACCCTATCACAGTAGCGCTCACAACATCCACTCACGTGAGAGGGCTTATTTTATAAGGAACCATGCACCTTTTTTGGACAGTGAGCAAAATATTCTTTCCTTGTGCCCAAAGAAATGCATGTAGAAAAATCCCGCGTTCGAAAGTGAGATATGCAAATTCCCGCATATCCTCTTTCGAAACTACTGCGTCGTCTAGACGTACCCTATCACAGTAGCGCTCACAACATCCACTCACGTGAGAGGGCTTATTTTATAAGGAACCATGCACCTTTTTTGGACAGTGAGCAAAATATTCTTTCCTTGTGCCCAAAGAAATGCATGTAGAAGAAGAACGCTTAGACGTGTCATTTCTCTTTCTAGACAGGCTACTTGGTAACGCGGTAAGACTGTTTCCGGGGTGTACCTTGGTGTACTGCTCAACCAGTTTGGTGAAGTAGTTGAAGAGGCTATGTTGCGGACGCAGGAAGTCAAACTGGTAATTCCGCTGTTCCTTCTGCATCAGTTGAGTCAGGAACTGCCGGCCATTCCGTGCGACGAACTGCGCCGTCAGCTTCACCACGTCCAAGTCGAAGGCTGAGATGGAGGGAGGGTCGGCGATGAACTCAAACTCTGGTGGAGGTTCCTTTGGAATGACTGTTTCTTGGATCACCTGAGCCTGGACCTGCAGAGGGAAACTCCGACACTCACTAACTGTAGCCATTGCTCGCTCACTCCTACGTAACCGTTTGGGAAGGCCGGTGGCTTTCATTAACTGGAGGGGGGAAAATGACTAATAGATCCCTAACTGCACGGAAGGGACGAGGTAGTAACATAGTACAGTTCAGCGGTGAGACGTTGAAACAGGCCCACCGTAAAAAGATGAACTCAGACTCCAAACGCAGCTGGAAGCGGAACGGGATGTAGCTAAAATCTCGTAACAGATGTAACCGCAGCACATCTAATCACGGACTCTACAGACGGCAGGTTCAGCTATGGCTTCTTGCCCGCTAATGCAAACCTGCTAGGCCCGTGACAGATTAAAACCTTCTTATGCGAAATTCTCCCAAAACAGAGTAGAAAATGCAGGTGAAAAGCCAACATAACTGGAGAAAACAGTCCTGGGATAACTCCTTCCGAGTTCATACGTACAAGGCCAACAAAACTCCTTGTACTGACTACAGGGTCCTGTCAGGCAACTGTCTTCCGGCAGGATGTTCTAGATACACGCAAGACTGGTGATTACATGAATATCTGATCAGGAATGTTCCTGGTCAAACCAGCATTCAATTGTCATTAAAACGGGATCAATACCTGTAGCAAATTACTTCTCTTAGGGTGTGTCTAAACTACATGGCTCCGTTGATGGAGCCATGTAGATTAGGCTGATCGTCAAAGGGAAATGAAGCCGCGATTTAAATAATCGCAGCGTCATTTAAATTTAAATGGCTGCCGCGCTGAGCCGACAAACAGCTCATCAGCTGTTTGTCGGCTCGCGCGCTAGTCTGGATGTTCCCCCTGTCGACATCAAAGCCCTTTGTCGGCAGCAATAAAGGGTTTTCATGTCGACAGGGGAGCGTCCAGACTGCCCCGATCTGCCGACAAACAGCTGATCGGCAGAGTGGGGCAGCCATTTAAATTTAAACGAAGCCGCGATTATTTAAATCGTGGCTTCATTTCCCTTTGCCGAACAAACAAATCTACATGGCTCTGTCAACGGAGCCATGTAGTTTAGACGTACCCTTAGAGATACAAACAAGCTTCTTGGCTCTGGCAAATTTCGGGGCATATGTACGTGCAGAAGAACAAGAGGCCAGGGTGTTACGGGTACATCTACTTATTTTGGAATAACGCCCGTTATTCCGAAATAACCATGCGAGCGCCTACACAGTGAGCCCGTTATTCCGAAATAACCATGAAAGCGCCAACACAGCTAGCCCGTTATTCCAAAATAACCATGCCAGCGTCTACACAGATAGCCCGTCATTCCGAAATAATTTCAAAATAACGGGCAGCTTATTTCAGCAGTGGTAAACCTCCTTCCAAGAGATATAATGCCTCTCCCAAAACAGCTAGGCTACGTCTACACAGGCGTGTTCTCACACAAAAACTCTTTTGCGGAAGAGTTCTTGTGCAAAAACTCTTCCAGAAGCGAGCGTCTACACTGGCGTGTGCTTTTGCGCAAGAGATGTGCTTTATGATTTTTGTACTTTGTACACCCAAAAATTTCATCGCCTGCCCGGCTACAATTAAGTTGTGTTGCAACAGTAGAAAAAAATTGTGTGCGTCTGAAAACTGTAGGTCCTGCGGCTACTTTTTTGTTTTTTTAAAGGCTTCTTCATTAAAAAACGGTTGAGAAACACTGATGTAGACGTGACGCTGCAGCTATTTCAAAATAGCTCCTACCCCAGGCCATTCAAAGTCATTACTCCCCAGTGTTTCCTGGGTCTCTAATTTAAGGTAGCAGATCCACATTAGGGGAACCTGCCTTGGACCAATTCCCAGGCTTCCTTGTAGCGTCGACACGCAATTTCAAAAGAAGCTATTTTGGAGTATTTCTTCCAGGTAGCTTATTCCGAAGTAATCGTGCAGTGTAGACATATAGAATTCGGCTTGTTTGGGGTGGAAAGCCAAGATCGGAGCCGACCCCCTCCGCGCTAACAAGACTAACGAGCCAGTTACCTTCTGAGGAAGTTGTTGCTGCGCACTTTGCTGCTGTTGCATGACCTTCGGTATGGCAGCCGAGGGTTCCTGGGCCTTGCCCTCTTTGAACTCGCTGACTTTGTGCCGGTAGTAGGCATGGTAGGGATCGTTGGGGTTCAAGAAATTGAACTTGGGGTTGTTTATTTCGTTCTGACGGATTCGAGCTTCAAACTCTGGGCCATTTCTGTGGGGGGGGGAAAGCGAGTTGAGGACAGTCAGCATCAACGCTGGAGAAAAGAAACCCGTTTTCTTCACAACTACTAAAAGTAATGGTGGTGCACTAACTTCTCTCCTCCCTTCTGACGACAACTGTGGTCTTCTCCTCACACTATTAAATCTTACTCTTCTAGAAATCTAAATAAATCGGGTCCAATCCACCAGCCAATTGCCGACCAACAGAATACACGTTTACACAAAACTTGGAGTTTTGAGTTTCAGCGCTTCATGACCAATATTTCTTATCATAGAAGAGATCTCAGGAGGTCATCGAGTCCAGCCTCTTGCCCAAAGCAGGACCAATCCCAACGGACCAATCTTAAGACAGTTCAAATCACTTACGTCTTTCGTTGCCTGTTTAACAATTTGGCTCTAGATCAAGCAGACTATTGGATTAGGGGAAAGTTTCTAGACTGCTGATTACACCCACAAGAGATTGGTGCAGTAAGGAAGAAAATTGATGCACTTTATTTATGCTTTTCATGCCTTTTTAAGAGGATTCCTAAAAGCGAAAAGTCAGCGACCAAGCATTGATCAGATTGTGACGCTGCTTTGAGGGGACCAGAAGCTAATGTCACCAGCTATCCCGGTTCAAGAATTTGCACGAGAGCGGAAGGGGGGTTCCAAAGAGGATGGAGAGAGGCTGTTCACAGTAGTGACGGACGGCAGAACAAGGAGCAATGGGCTCAAGTTACAGCGGGAGAGGTCTAGGTTGGATATTAGGATAAACTATTTCACGAGGAGGGTGGTGAAACGCTGGAATGGGTTACCTAGGGAAGAGGTGGAATCTCCATTCCTAGACGTTTTTAAGTTGAGTTTCAACCTGGCTGGGTTGATTTAGTTGGGATTGGTCCTGACTTGGGCAGGGGGCTGGACTTGACCTTCTGAGGTCTCTTCCAGCTCTATGATTCTCAGGGCTCGATAAGTAATATGATCAAGCGATTTCTCTCCTGCCATCCATCTCCACCCGCTGACTAACAGAGGCTGGGGACACCATTCCTTACCCACCCTGGCTAATAGCCATTCATGGACTTAACCGCCATGAATTTATCATGGAGGAATACGGGAAATCGGAGGAAGAGTGCTCTATTTTGAAATACCTGCTGTGTAGCCGCACCCTGTTTGGAAATCAGATCTGCAACTGACGTAGCTCAATTTGCGTAGTTTATTTCGAGTTAAGCCCTGCTGTGTAGACACACCCCTACGCTCTAAGCTTCAGACAGTGAGTTAATCAAACCCGACGTAGATCTGATGAGATCTATATAGGACTCCAGTACTATCCCTAACCACATACCAGTTATCTCCTCTGCATCTGTGGCTACGGAACATGCTTAACGTGCCACTTAATCAGGTGAGTTTCTACAAAGGAATTTCACCACCCCGTTACAGAGAGAGACTGCTAAATGACTGAATTCATTTATAAATTTGACGCTAGTAATAGAGAGGTAGCCGTGTTAATCTGATCTTGCTAAAACAAAAGGAAAAACTATGTAGCACTTTAAAGACTAACAAGATGGTTTATTAGTCTGGTGGAGGTTCCTTTGGAATGACTGTTTCTTGGATCACCTGAGCCTGGACCTGCAGAGGGAAACTCCGACACTCACTAACTGTAGCCATTGCTCGCTCACTCCTACGTAACCGTTTGGGAAGGCCGGTGGCTTTCATTAACTGGAGGGGGGAAAATGACTAATAGATCCCTAACTGCACGGAAGGGACGAGGTAGTAACATAGTACAGTTCAGCGGTGAGACGTTGAAACAGGCCCACCGTAAAAAGATGAACTCAGACTCCAAACGCAGCTGGAAGCGGAACGGGATGTAGCTAAAATCTCGTAACAGATGTAACCGCAGCACATCTAATCACGGACTCTACAGACGGCAGGTTCAGCTATGGCTTCTTGCCCGCTAATGCAAACCTGCTAGGCCCGTGACAGATTAAAACCTTCTTATGCGAAATTCTCCCAAAACAGAGTAGAAAATGCAGGTGAAAAGCCAACATAACTGGAGAAAACAGTCCTGGGATAACTCCTTCCGAGTTCATACGTACAAGGCCAACAAAACTCCTTGTACTGACTACAGGGTCCTGTCAGGCAACTGTCTTCCGGCAGGATGTTCTAGATACACGCAAGACTGGTGATTACATGAATATCTGATCAGGAATGTTCCTGGTCAAACCAGCATTCAATTGTCATTAAAACGGGATCAATACCTGTAGCAAATTACTTCTCTTAGGGTGTGTCTAAACTACATGGCTCCGTTGATGGAGCCATGTAGATTAGGATTCTCCGTCGACGGAGCCATGTAGATTTGTTTGTTCGGCAAAGGGAAATGAAGCCGCGATTTAAATAATCGCGGCTTCATTTAAATTTAAATGGCTGCCGTGCTGAGCCGACAAACAGCTGATCAGCTGTTTGTCGGCTCAGCGCGCTAGTCTGGATGCTCCTGCGCCGACCTGAAAGCCCTTTATCGACCTCCCCGTTATGCCTCGTAGGATGAGGTTTACCGGGGAGGTCAATAAAGGGTTTTCATGTCGACAGGGGAGCGTCCAGACTGCCCCGATCTGCCGACAAACAGCTGATCGGCAGAGTGGGGCAGCCATTTAAATTTAAACGAAGCCGCGATTATTTAAATCGTGGCTTCATTTCCCTTTGCCGAACAAACAAATCTACATGGCTCTGTCAACGGAGCCATGTAGTTTAGACGTACCCTTAGAGATACAAACAAGCTTCTTGGCTCTGGCAAATTTCGGGGCATATGTACGTGCAGAAGAACAAGAGGCCAGGGTGTTACGGGTACATCTACTTATTTTGGAATAACGCCCGTTATTCCGAAATAACCATGAAAGCGCCAACACAGCTAGCCCGTTATTCCAAAATAACCATGCCAGCGTCTACACAGATAGCCCGTCATTCCGAAATAATTTCAAAATAACGGGCAGCTTATTTCAGCAGTGGTAAACCTCCTTCCAAGAGATATAATGCCTCTCCCAAAACAGCTAGGCTACGTCTACACAGGCGTGTTCTCACACAAAAACTCTTTTGCGGAAGAGTTCTTGTGCAAAAACTCTTCCAGAAGCGAGCGTCTACACTGGCGTGTGCTTTTGCGCAAGAGATGTGCTTTATGATTTTTGTACTTTGTACACCCAAAAATTTCATCGCCTGCCCGGCTACAATTAAGTTGTGTTGCAACAGTAGAAAAAAATTGTGTGCGTCTGAAAACTGTAGGTCCTGCGGCTACTTTTTTGTTTTTTTAAAGGCTTCTTCATTAAAAAACGGTTGAGAAACACTGATGTAGACGTGACGCTGCAGCTATTTCAAAATAGCTCCTACCCCAGGCCATTCAAAGTCATTACTCCCCAGTGTTTCCTGGGTCTCTAATTTAAGGTAGCAGATCCACATTAGGGGAACCTGCCTTGGACCAATTCCCAGGCTTCCTTGTAGCGTCGACACGCAATTTCAAAAGAAGCTATTTTGGAGTATTTCTTCCAGGTAGCTTATTCCGAAGTAATCGTGCAGTGTAGACATATAGAATTCGGCTTGTTTGGGGTGGAAAGCCAAGATCGGAGCCGACCCCCTCCGCGCTAACAAGACTAACGAGCCAGTTACCTTCTGAGGAAGTTGTTGCTGCGCACTTTGCTGCTGTTGCATGACCTTCGGTATGGCAGCCGAGGGTTCCTGGGCCTTGCCCTCTTTGAACTCGCTGACTTTGTGCCGGTAGTAGGCATGGTAGGGATCGTTGGGGTTCAAGAAATTGAACTTGGGGTTGTTTATTTCGTTCTGACGGATTCGAGCTTCAAACTCTGGGCCATTTCTGTGGGGGGGGGAAAGCGAGTTGAGGACAGTCAGCATCAACGCTGGAGAAAAGAAACCCGTTTTCTTCACAACTACTAAAAGTAATGGTGGTGCACTAACTTCTCTCCTCCCTTCTGACGACAACTGTGGTCTTCTCCTCACACTATTAAATCTTACTCTTCTAGAAATCTAAATAAATCGGGTCCAATCCACCAGCCAATTGCCGACCAACAGAATACACGTTTACACAAAACTTGGAGTTTTGAGTTTCAGCGCTTCATGACCAATATTTCTTATCATAGAAGAGATCTCAGGAGGTCATCGAGTCCAGCCTCTTGCCCAAAGCAGGACCAATCCCAACGGACCAATCTTAAGACAGTTCAAATCACTTACGTCTTTCGTTGCCTGTTTAACAATTTGGCTCTAGATCAAGCAGACTATTGGATTAGGGGAAAGTTTCTAGACTGCTGATTACACCCACAAGAGATTGGTGCAGTAAGGAAGAAAATTGATGCACTTTATTTATGCTTTTCATGCCTTTTTAAGAGGATTCCTAAAAGCGAAAAGTCAGCGACCAAGCATTGATCAGATTGTGACGCTGCTTTGAGGGGACCAGAAGCTAATGTCACCAGCTATCCCGGTTCAAGAATTTGCACGAGAGCGGAAGGGGGGTTCCAAAGAGGATGGAGAGAGGCTGTTCACAGTAGTGACGGACGGCAGAACAAGGAGCAATGGGCTCAAGTTACAGCGGGAGAGGTCTAGGTTGGATATTAGGATAAACTATTTCACGAGGAGGGTGGTGAAACGCTGGAATGGGTTACCTAGGGAAGAGGTGGAATCTCCATTCCTAGACGTTTTTAAGTTGAGTTTCAACCTGGCTGGGTTGATTTAGTTGGGATTGGTCCTGACTTGGGCAGGGGGCTGGACTTGACCTTCTGAGGTCTCTTCCAGCTCTATGATTCTCAGGGCTCGATAAGTAATATGATCAAGCGATTTCTCTCCTGCCATCCATCTCCACCCGCTGACTAACAGAGGCTGGGGACACCATTCCTTACCCACCCTGGCTAATAGCCATTCATGGACTTAACCGCCATGAATTTATCATGGAGGAATACGGGAAATCGGAGGAAGAGTGCTCTATTTTGAAATACCTGCTGTGTAGCCGCACCCTGTTTGGAAATCAGATCTGCAACTGACGTAGCTCAATTTGCGTAGTTTATTTCGAGTTAAGCCCTGCTGTGTAGACACACCCCTACGCTCTAAGCTTCAGACAGTGAGTTAATCAAACCCGACGTAGATCTGATGAGATCTATATAGGACTCCAGTACTATCCCTAACCACATACCAGTTATCTCCTCTGCATCTGTGGCTACGGAACATGCTTAACGTGCCACTTAATCAGGTGAGTTTCTACAAAGGAATTTCACCACCCCGTTACAGAGAGAGACTGCTAAATGACTGAATTCATTTATAAATTTGACGCTAGTAATAGAGAGGTAGCCGTGTTAATCTGATCTTGCTAAAACAAAAGGAAAAACTATGTAGCACTTTAAAGACTAACAAGATGGTTTATTAGGTGATGAGTTTTTGTGGGCCAGACCCACTTCCTCAGATCATATGCTGGAAGAGAAATGGCGTGACCATATATATCAAAGGAATACAATGAAAAAAATGAACGTATTATTAAACTCTCAGCTTGGGCTTGAATAATGCACTACAATAGGGATGGCCAATCCATTCTGGGCAAAGAGTCAAGATATCAGTGGATCCAGTGCAAAGAACCGGGGCAAAGATGTCGAGGGGGGGGGAAAAAAAAGCTCTGTCCCTTTAAGAAAACGCGTTCAGAGGCTTTTTGGCCACATCAGGCTGACGCCACCTTTAATGGCCGCGCCGGACTGCTCCCCTGCCCAAGTGAGCACAAGGAGACGGGAGGAGAGGGCCGTTTTGGGGGAGCGGCTTTACAAGCCACGGGGAGCGGGGGAGAGCGCGTCGCGTGCTGCGGGTTGGCCACAGCTGCACTACAAAGCCAATTTCCCCTGCGTTTGCCATTCACATGTTGACATCAAAAGCGATGCATGGGTCACATCCAGCCTACTTAATTAGCTTCATTAACACAAGTCCTAAAATTGATAGGAAACTGCTTTTGCTGTTCTATACACCTTGGATTATCTCCACTCCAACGCCTCTGTTGAAGTGAGTTTTACCCCACAAAAGCTCACAATTCTATGTACGGGACACGGCTACATTTCTATTACAATCCTATATTTGTATTAGTTGCTCCGGTGCCACAGGACTACTCATTTTGAACGTGACACACACGGCTACCCCTCTGAGAACTCTCACAAGCGACAGTTTTTCACCTCCCCGCGGACACCCGAGCACGCTTAGCACTAGTTCTGCTTACAGCAGAAGTCCTGCACCAGAGAGATTCAGAAGTCCTCGATTTCAGTTTCATTTTTAAAACCGTGTTAATCTAAAACCTCACACACTCTGCGTGCTGGTCTAGGAAATAGGAGAGCCCAATCTCCCGTTATTTACCTCGCTACAAAGCTGGCTGTCTTGTCCACGATATTCCTGACTTCTGGAGGAGGGTAAATAATCCCCACAACGGGTTTGGCTGGTGTTGCTGCTTCTTCTTTTGGCTCATCTTCTGGCTGCAGGAAGAACAAACGAGAGGTTTTCTACAGTCCTACCGTATCCCACCTCATTTAATTAAAACAATAATTAAATTGTACATTGTGATTCAGGAGACTGGGTTCTACACACAGCTCTGATATTGGCTTATAGGGTAATCTTGGCAAATTACTGCCCCCCCCCCACACACACACACACACAGGGTCCGTCTAGACTACAGGCTTTTGTCGAGAGGCTCTGACAGATACTGTCGACAAAGAGCATCTAGACGACATCCAGTTCTGTTGACAAAGCAAGCCGCTTTCTCGACACGAGAGTGTAGATGCACTAACGTCTTCTGTTGACAGAATTCTGTCGACAAAAAGCTTTATTCCTCGTAGAACGAGGTTTACCGTCATCGACAAAACTGCCGCGTTCTGTCGACGTTATGTTATCCCGGGAACTCTTCCTGATTGCTGCGTTATCCCTATGGCAGGCCTGGAACGGTTACTCATTGGGGTGAGACGATCTCTCTCCAATAGGCCAGCAAGGGAAAAATTGTCAGCAAAAAGCTGTTTTAGAAAACGTGTCGGGGAAAAACAGAGAAACTGAAAAGAGGGGAAACAAGGAGACTTAAAACTATGAGTATTTTACACGACAGAGGGACTGCAGGGTGGAAATGGTTACAGACGGATACAGCCGCTATATAAGCATGAGCTTATCGGTTACTGGAACCGTTACATGCAGGCTCCCGCTCAGCCGGCTGCCACCCCGCATTGCTAGCTCTGTATCGGATACAGCGGC